CCTCCTCGGGTCTCCTGAGCAGTCACAGGCGCAGCGTCCCACGGCCAGGCTGACTGTCCACCTCTCCCGTGCAGTCCCAGTCCTCCCAATGGTTCCAGGCCGTGTTTTCCTTTTTGTTTGTTTTTTGGGACAGGACCTTGCTATGTAGTCCACGCTGGCCTGAACTCACTGTGTAGCCCAAGCTAGTCTGGAATTTGTGGCGATCCTCTTGCCTCAGCCTGCTGAGTGCTGAGGTTACAGGTGTGCACCACAACGCCTAGTTGGATGTTCTAACAGATGCGCTGCCAGAGCGCCAGGTGACAGGCAGGCAGGCAGTCATGTGGGGACCTGAGGAATGAGCCAGTTCCTCTCCTGTGGTCCTCGGGAATTTTTGTTGGTCTGTGAGGAATCTGCCTGGGCACCTGGATTCCCTCAGAGATGGCTAGAGCCCCTCCCCAGATCCTCCAGAACCCTGACGTGGGGAGAAGGCCCCACCCCTCTGCCCCTGTCACCCTGGCCTCCTTGCTGACCTCGGGCCTGCTGGGCAGGTATCACCAGGTCTGTGTGCTGGCATCCCCTCTGCTGGGCACGCCCTTCTAGAAGCAGTCGCCACGGCCCGTCCACGCTCCTGTCCTGTGGTTCCTCCCTTCACCTCCGGCGCTGCGCACCTGCTCTCCACGTGGGCTCCCGACACCCAAGCGAGTGCCCGTGCCTCTCGAGGGTGATGGGTGGCCTCAGATGCGCTGCTGGCCTGAGAAGGCGCCTTTCCCAAAGCCTGCCCTCAGCGCGGTTTACAGACCACAGCCCCACTGCAGGTCCACGGCAGGGCTCAGAGTGCAGCCCTCCAGAACAAATGGCGCGGCTGTCTGTTAGCTCAGGTAGGAACATGGCTCTGTGCACCCCAGGACCCTCCGTGGAGGCTGATACTGTGCCTGGGGCTCTCAAGGAATCAGCTGTGTGGCCGCTTCACTGGTCTTTACCCCACCCAGCTCACAGAAGCTGATATGGGGTCCCCACATGTCCCAAACCAGGGTGACTCCATCCCCAGGGACATCTGCAGCTGCCAGGACTGGGGGTGCTGCTGGCCTGGAGCAGGTGGAGGCCAGTGAAGCTGGTCAGCACCCTGCAGTGTCCGAGACACCCCCACACCAAAGGACAGCCCAGCCCGTTTCACAGTGCTCGGGTGGGGCTGGGCCACCCATTATTGCCTGAAAGGGACACGGCTTCCTGAGGGAACAGTACCCAAGTCTGAGATGCACAAGCCTGGGGGCCTTCACAGCCTAAGAGCCATACAAGGATGATATTTCTGTTTAAAAACTCTGCTATCTGAAATACTAAATAGCTGGTAGAAACACCAGGAGCCTGTTGGATAGCTTGTTTACAGACAAGGTCATCTCCAAGCAAAAAAGATACTGCTGTTAATGCCGCTCAGAATTCTCCCCCTTAGGGGCTGCGGATTTAGCTCAGCGGCACAGCCTGCCTGGCAAGCGCAAGGTCGTGAGTTGGATTCCTGGTACCAGAAAAAAAACAAACAACAACAACAACAAAAAGAATTCTCCCCCTTGTGTCTAGCATACTTATCCCATGGTTCTTCCACTTCTCTTTTTTTCTTGAGACAAAGTCTCAGTATGTAGTTCAGGCTGCCCTTCCACTCACTGTGTAGCCCAGGCTGACCTCAAACTTGCAGCGATCCTCCTGCCTTGGTTTCCCAAGTGCAGGTGTGCACCACTGCTCCTGGCTGCTTGCCACTTTGTGAAGCAGTTTCGAAGTCTCCTTTCGTGTCTTTGCTAGGAGTGATCAAAAGTCTGGTGAGTGCTGCTACCAAGTGCCACCCAACGGAACTGCAGCTCGTAGAAACATTGCATGTGTCCTGTGCACCTCATTCTCCAGATCTCGTTCCTCCCCCATGCCAAAATGACTGTGAAAGGTGAAAGGTCCGATTAAAGACAGAAAAGGAGACTCCCAGAATTGTTCTGTTCTGTTTTGTTTTATTTATTACAGGTATGCACCACCATAGCCGGCTCATTTATTTTATTTATTTATTTATTCTCTTTTTGAGACAGGGTCTTGCTATGCAGTTCAGGGTGGCCCTGAGCTCATTTTGTAGCCCAGGCTGGTCTCGAACTCACAATGATCCTCCTGCCTCAGCCTCCTGAGTGCTGGGATTACAGGCATGCGCCACCATGCCCAGCATGGCTCATTTGTTTTTAAGGCAGGGTCTTGGGATGTAGTTCAGGCTGGCCTTGAATCCACTATTGTAGGCTGTGTAGAGCATGTGTTGAACCTCCTGCCTCCAGCCACCTGAGTGCTGGGATTATTGGTGTGCGCCACCATGCCTGGCCCAGAACTGCTTCAGACAGGGGAAGGGAGGGAGGGGACGCACAGAGAATTAGCTGTGTCAGCACAGGCACTCCCCCTCCTCCCGTGCATCTCATCGTGGCCGCAAACGTGTACTTAAGGATGGCAGATGAGAGTGTCTGAAGCAGGGAGGAGTCTTTTGAGGGGGATTCACAGCAATGTGTCTTTTACTGTGATCACTTTTGTTAAATAGCCACCTTCACACTGCGCCTGTGTCCAGAGCTTGCGGGGAGGACCGGCAGGGGCTTTGCGCACTGCCTGCAGGCAGTGGGCCTGTGGCGAGGGGCAGCTCTGATGACCCCTGCGTCCTCGCCTGGCCAGCCCGGCTCCCTGTCGCGTGGGCTTGGAGGGACTCGGCCCCCAACCTTGTACTGGATCTCCCTGGGCCCCCAGCACAGCCAGAGAGGCTCCTGGGGCCGGGTGGCCACTTGCCCCTCCTGGCTGAGGTCCCCTCTTGACTTTCAGCGCCAAGAAGCGGGAGGGTGAGCTCACGGTGGCTCAGGCCCGCGTGAAGGACCTGGAGTCCCTGTTCCACCGGAGCGAGGTGGAGCTGGCCGCCGCCCTCAGTGACAAACGCAGCCTGGAAGGCGATGTGGCGGAGCTCCGGGCGCAGGTGGCCAAGGTAGGCATGGGAGTCACTAGGGTCATCCCATGGCACGCATGCAGGTGCTGCAGCCCGGTGTCCCGTGTCTCCAGGCAGAGGATGGCCACGCGGTGGCCAAGCAGCAGCTGGAGAAGGAGACACTGATGCGTGTGGACCTGGAGAACCGCTGCCAGAGCCTGCAGGAGGAGCTGGACTTCCAGAAGAGCGTGTGTGAGGAGGTGCGCCAGGGCAGCTCGGCCCTCACTGGCTGCTCCTGGGCCACTCCCGCGGGGGGAGGCCACTCGGGTGTGTTTCTGCCCCTGCCCCCCCCCACACACACACACCGAGGTCACCGTTTGCACAGGGTTACAGCTTCAGCCCTGCCCCGCTCCAGGTCTGCCCCTCCGGGGCTCCCAGGGCTGTGGCTCCAGTCTCTGCCTGTTTTTACTTCGCCTCTTCCTCTCCTGTGATCTCTTAAGGACATTTGTCACTGGGCTGAGGCCACCTGAACACTCCAGAATCTCATTCCCAAACCCTCACCTCAGTAACATCTGCAGACTCTGTTTCCGCATAAGCCCCCGCGCTGGCGTGTAGGGATCAGGACTGGGGGCCGCCACCCAGCCACCATAGGGTCTCCCCTCAGAGTTGGGGCGTTGCTGTTCTCTTCCACCTCAGCCACATCTCCCCGCCCACGGCCTTCCAGTCGCTGCGCCTCTGGCCCTTGGGACCCGCGGGGCTGGCCGGATTGAGCGGGTCCCTGTGTCCCGCGGGACCCGGCTGTGGGCGGGGCCTGGCTCGTGGGGTCCTCTGGCTGGACCCCGCCCCCCAGAGCCGGGTGAGGTCACAGTGCACCCCAGTCCAGAACGCTGGGGTGCGGCCGCGCGTCAGCCAGTGCGCAGGAGACGCC